AGTTCGAAAATATCCGGGGTGCTACCCAGTGTGCACTCTTTCTTAACCAACTCTGCCGCTGGGTAAATTTTACTCCTGTCATTCTTGTCAGTTTTTCATTATTTAAATCTACTACTTTCATATTTAGTCAGATTTATTGCTTCCATTTTCCGTTTCTCGGAAGTTGTTGTTGATAATAGGCACAAACAGATAAATGGAATGCACAGAACCTTGGGCCTAAATGTATGTATAAATGTATGTAAAATTTAACCCTTTTTCGAACGCACTCCTGCGGTCGGCTAGAATTGGCGAACGCGGCGCTTACGAGAAGCGACTATCCTCTTGTGGTTTATCGTTCTTGGTTTCTGCCTGCCTAGCCTAGCCGGGCGGGAATGCTGTCAATTTGACTTTGACAGTTGGATAGGGTGTTGATTTTCAGTCAATCTCAGTATCTTTTCAATTTTTTCGAATTTAACATAAATATTATTTAAATAAAAATGTTTCCAAAAGGGTTGCTCCAAAAGTACTTTGTGCACCACATTCTTCGGAATTGTCTCCTTTCCGCCCTTGATACACAATGTATTATTTTTCTGAGTAATTGAATAATATGCGTATTATACCTACATCCACTTTCTATTGATTGATGTGAGTGATTACTCATACAGTGAGTTTTTTTTTTCACTACTCAATTATTTTCAACCAATGAAAATATCTGTTATGTCATTATACACCGAGTCCCGGGTAATGTTTTATTTGTTTTTTTTTTTCAATTTCCAATGTTGCTCTAGCTCGTTTTGGAAAATTTGGATTATTGTTCTGGCTCTTTTTGGACAATTTGGATTATTTTCAAAAAAAAATATGAACGTTTTAGTTTATTAGTGGTAGATATGTTGTTGATTTCGCGTGATTCTGAATTCTGCGACTAAGTCACCGAAGCCAGCTGACAAATTCACGTCGATTTGAAGATCCTTATCTTTGACATGGCTAACCAACCTCACTTTCTCCAGCTGTCAAAATGGTCAATTAGTTTTGTAATGACATGAAATGAAATATTGCATTATTTTTTTTCTATTATCCATTTTTTATGTAATTTATTACCTAATAGAAAAAAAATTTATTGTATTGTACAGCTCGTTGAATAATATAGCAGGGCTGAAAATCAGATTTTTTATTTATTATATTTATTTTAAATTACCCAAAACCTCTTCAACCCGCTGTAGTATCAGCGGGATGAAGAGGCATCATTTGGCATCATTGGCAACATTTCAATTGCTTGTAATAGGTTGTCTGGTAATGGCAAACAGATGACGCCAGCGTGGTTCTTATAGAAATTTGCATTAGGTTTAAGCATACAGATGACGTCATAAAAGTTATCAGCCAACCTCACTCTTTTAAACAAGCTTGATCCAAACCACAAATGCCATCAGGATTCAAGATGGCGGCAATTGTCTTGTCAAGCATCTGTAATGTTTGTTTACCCTATGTTTTTAATTGTTTTGATTTTTGAAGTTTTCACTTCTGTCGTGTGGTCTTAAGCACACCGTAATTTTTTTTCTGGGTTTGTCATGAAGATATTTTCATATAAATACACATTAAGACCCTTAATGTAACATGTCTGACAACAGGAAAAAGGTTTTCGCAAACTTTCCATGATACCGCACAGCATTTTCACTTTCACCATCACCATCACATCTGGGCTGCGTTCAAAAACGGCTAAAGCCAAGCCAAAATTGGCATATTGCGTTCAAGTTCGGCTCCAGCTTGCCAAAAACGGTTGGCTTTACACGTTCAGAATCGGCCGCGGTAAAGTAGCTTTTGGAGGTGCTTTTAACTGAGTCTAGAAATGGTTATACGAATTTTGATTGGATGAGACCAAATTCAATATGGCGTGGCGGCCAGTAAGTTAGTTTTGAATATGTGTTTTCATGCATATTTCAATTATTTTGCTTCGAGTTTTGCTTGCACTTTGATTTTGATTATTCAGTAAAATATTTGTAGGTACGTAAACTATTGAGTTGGGCAGAAACTAGATATTTTTTTGTTCTTTGAACGCACCTGGTCTAAAGACCCACTTATATGGCACAATGGTGCCAAGGATAATACACACTAGTAAGGATTGCTTATCGGCCTCGTTTTTGGTAATCGCCGCCATATTGCTGTGTCACCATTTTCGACGTCATAACTAAGTCGTCAACTGTTTGCACTAGCGGTCGTAGTTTAGAATTTGAATTTATGATGAAAAATATTATTTAATTTTGATTAACATAATAGGCAAGGCAAAGAGGAAGATGAAAACGAAATGTAAAAAAGAATTGTTTTAGAATATTAATTATTAATGTAGGTAGTAGTAAAACCAAGTATGCATAATGCATAAAGCAAAAGGCCGCGGAATCATAACCTGTGGTGCAAACAGCCTACGTCAAGGCGAGAAAGGACATGCTGTCTACGTCACAATTGGTGATTTGGCGTGGTGGTGTGCTTCATATTTGTTCCACACAGGCCTTATGAGGATAGGCTATCCTGTAGCAGTATTGTGTACTATCCTTGCAATTAGGTGATTCGAATCAGCTGATAATTCAAGATGGCGATGCGGCACGAATGTAAACAAACCATAGAGGTTAAACATTGTCTCCACATAAATGTGTGTTATTTCTACCTGTTTCAGAGCATAATTTAATGAATTTTAATTAATTTCAATTTGCTTAAATATTCGAAGTTAAAACCGAGTTATTTGGAATATTTATCTACCAATAAAATATCTGGGCATCGGTACAAAACGGACCTCAAGTAGGTAAAACACTGTAGTTCACTTTAAATTTATAAATCGCATCTTTACACATACTTTGCCAATCTCGACACTTATAGCAAAAAATAGTGTGTCAGAGGCAAATGAATGTCAAAAATATAAATTACATGAACCACAGTAATAGGGCTACGCAAGACCAAGACCAAGATCAAGACTGGCCAGTCTTGGTCTTGATCACGAAAAATAAATGCGGTCTTGGTCTTGGTCTAGGTCTTGATGTTTCAAGACTAGGACAAGACCAGCTCAGTCTTGGTCTTGGTCTTGATAGTCTTGAAAAAAATGTATACCAGATTTTTAAAATATATATACATAACATATAACGACAGAGCAGAGGTAATAAATTTAGGACTTCAAAATAAAAAAATAAACCTCCCTTTCTGAAAAAATTATGCCGACGTTTCGACCATGCATGTGGTCTTCTTCACAGGCAATTTTTACCAGCAAGAGCGTTTCATGTTAAAAAATACCGCATAAAGCATTTCACAACACAGAGAAACAACCAAACATCAATTCTTAAGTTATAATTTTTATTAACGGAACAGGAAAGTTGACAAACACATCATAATATTGCCATTCTGTACCGAGGAAAAGAATAAATTTCTATTTGAACCATAGAATAAACCTACCTTACCTACGTGAGCATTCGCCATTCAGGCCAGATAAAGGTTTTCGAGAACCCTCACAGTCACATAGCTCATTTGAATTTTATTGGCCTATTCACAATAATTAAATTTGGGTTAGTTTGGGTGAGATGTAGGGTTTGTGCTAAATAGTTAGTTAAGAATTATCTTTGGAACATCCAATACTACATAAATTTGATGAATTGATTTAATTAAAAGACATTAAAAGTAGACATAGGAATTTGCATTTATATAAATATTGAGTCGATTTTTTTTTCAAGACCAAGACCAAGACGAGGGTCTTGAGAGAGAGTCTTGGTCTTGGTCTGGGTCTTGAACGTCAAGTCTTGGTCTTGGTCTTGAGAATATTTATTAGGTCTTGGTCTTCGTCTTACCAAGACCAAGACTAGTCTTGTGGTCTCGCGAAGCCCTACACAGTAACGCCTAAAATAAAAATTTCTATCAAAAAACGTTCTCAAACTGATAAAAACCCTTTAGAAATTCACAGAAAAGACAGTTATGCCGCGGCGCCATCTTGTACGACAAACATCAAATCGCCCTATAGTGCAACGTGCAACCCGCAGGAGCATCCGCTTATTCCCTAGCATCGTTTCGACTGAAGGATACACTCTATACCCTTTTATGTTGTCGCTGTATCCTACAAGAGACCGCTTTTTTCGAATACAGCTTTGTTACAAGCCTCAGCCCAAAATTTAGTTCCTAGGTCTGCATCAAATAAAAAACACTTCGACATTTCTTCAACTGACCGGTTAAATCTCCCTGGAGAACTATTTTGTTCCGGCTTGTAGGCGTTGTTCCAGCTTCAGTACTTAAAAAAAGCAAATTACCATTATTTATGCCCCAAAATTTGCATATATAAATCGAAATCAAGTCAGTCATAAATCGTATTGTATGGCGTTATAAATGCTTTCGCCAGCCATCTATATCTGTAACGACACTGAAGCAATGTCATGGTTAGATCTGTCAGTAGGCAACGGCTCTGCTAAACGGCAGGATATCTTGGTCGCTCACAACAAATAGTGGCACTAGTATAGCGCAGCATGCTGTAGGAAAATAATAATGATGGGCGTCTCTCAGAAGCAACGTACTCATAGCAATAAGGTTTGACTGCTAAATTACTAAAATTAAAGTATCCAAACCAAAAAGGTAAACAACAAGTAAGAATAGCCAAAAATTAAACGACAATACTTTTTGAAAACTACATTTAGAATTCTAACTCTGTATATTTTTCTTTACACATTACAAATAACTTCACGTTGCGAGAAATCCAGAGTTTTTATTCCGTCCTATAAATCGAAGAATCTAGATTCAATTCAAAGCATACTTATCACATACTTAACTATCCAACAATCCATATCTACTGACTTTCAAGTTCCAGGGGTGGGACTAGCAATTTGGGAAATACTTCCAGTGTTCGTTTGACAATGGACAATGGCTTGTTCAAGGACGTTCGAATTTCTTTTAACTTCATATAACTAAGTAATGTTAGTCTTATATAATATTACTTTATTATTTATGAACAATTTTCATGTAGGTAAATTAAACTATTTTGATTTAATTTAAATTTATTTCAGGTTATAGTTTCCCCAAATACTCATGATCCACTTCATTTAATGGATGGTAAAAATGATAAAGAATATGAAGAACATCTGTCGACACCTGTTAAAAAATGCAAAAAACGGCGTGTGAAAAAACGGAGAACAATGTCGGCGTCAGCTGAAGGTTGTATACCTGATAATGCAGTACCCTTCGAGGCTAGAACACCTGAAGCTACAGAAGATTCAGCAAGGATACCTGAATGTCCTGAAATTTTAGCTAATGATACTAATGAAACTATAACAATTATTGATGGAGCTTGTAATGCTTTAACATTTGACTTAAAAGAAAAATCAAAACCTAAATCTGAAGATTGCCAAGCAAAAAAATTCAAAAGTTTCATGGACAAAATTGTGAGTCCGGTTATTCCACAACCAGGTGCTTGGTTAAAAAGATCGAATTCCATAAAAATTTCAAGACCTAGACCTAATAAACCCAATCAAGATGCATTGCCGACATTTAAAGAAGGAAATAAGAAATTTCAATATGGAAACTACAACAGATATTATGGCTATAGGAATCCACATAATGAAACCGATCCCAGGCTTAAGGTGTTTTATCTTTATCCAGATTTGTTCCATAATAGGGATATTTTGGATGTTGGATGTAATATTGGGCATATTACTTTGAGTGTTGCCAGGGACTTTAATGCTCGAACAGTTACAGGTGAGAAATTAGGAAATTCAATGTTTCAAGGTTTGATGTGTGCAAATAACACGAAATGAAAATCTTGCTCAGACCATTTCTTTCATTGCTGTTATTTTCAATTTAGAAGCAAAAATTTGGACAGGGCTTGAATTGTGGTATATCATTTCAAATAACGCCCTATATTGAACCCAGTGTAGTTTATAAGGTCTCAGGTAGCTTTGAACTTCTCTTTCTTATTTTTCTCAGCCTTCATCAGTTTTCTCAACTAACTCGATTTAGAAGTTAAAACTACATGAAGACATTCATTTCGCCGCGGCCCTCTTGAAATCGATGCCTTACATTTACCATTACTCTTGTGCATAAGTCAGGAATAACGGTTTCAATCTCTTCCCGGATACGACTCGCTGGATCGAATTTCCTGGGCAAAATAATCATGGTTTATAATATAAAAATAATGTACAGTTGACTTCTAGTTAGGTCTTTCCTAGGAAATTTTCTCTCATTCCCCATTCAAACCTATTTTTCCCCAATCTTTTTCAAATTCATTACATTTATTAACTTTGTTATCTGTACAAGTCCTACTTCAGTGCCTGAGTTTTCAAATCGTTCTGTTTAGGTTTATTGCAAAAGTTTTTGTAAGCAATTTTGTGCCTCCGATTAAAGTACTATATACAGGGTGGGCCAATGGAAACTTTTCACCCCGATTTTTTGGATTTAAAATAAAAATCTGGAAAAACGCTTGGAAACTTCGATTTTTGATTTGAGGAGGAACTGTTTTTCAGATTTTTTCATCCCCGTAGCTTTAACCCCCTAGCTGGGGGGAGAACAACCCCCCAAATTTGAATAGGGGATAGGGGTCGTCTCATACCTCTTTTTAAAGGTCGCATCGAATTCTTCATGGCCCTAGAATTTCGTCTTATTATTTCCATCCGTAACGAAATGACAGCTTATTGTCAAAATCTTGGAAATGGACTATTGTTTTAGTAGGAGTAAAAGCGATACCTACTTGCAATTAAAGTTGTTTTATTATGTTTAATAATTGAGAATAATAATTAATAATAGTAATAAAACAATTTTAATTGTAAGTACACTCATCAAAATTGTCTAGGGAACAAGAAATATCTGTCTTACAATTTTAGGACAGAACAACTTTTTTTAAAAGATAATGTGGGTATTTTTATTAAACAAATCTTATGAAATTTACCATTTTGGCTTTTTTTTTGCAAAATTATTTAGTTTGAATTCTTTATAACTAAAATCAGCAAAAAATTTCTGATAAGTATAGGTATTATCTTGTTCCCTAGACTTTTTTGAGGTGTGTATTTTACGTATTAGGGAGGTAAGTATCGCTTTTACTCCTTCTGAAACAATGGTCTATTTCAAGGATTTTGACAAGCTGTCACACAGAAGCTGTCATTTCGTTACGGATAAAAATAATAAGACTTAATAGTCCCCCCTTGAACAATCCCGAAAAAATCAGCTTTTATCTTGGACTAATAACGAAAAGAGGTGAAAATAAACTTCTTGCAAAAAAAAACCTAACCCAAACTAACCTTTAACCCATCTTTATTAGGACAGTTTTAGCTTGGCCATATTATCTCTTGTACTCATACCTGATACACCCTGTATATGTTCAAGGAGACATTAGTTCCACGTTTTGATGATTTTTTTTTGTGAAAATTAGATATGTATTTGAAAGTTGAATGTAAATTTACTTTCTCTTTTAGTCTATATTCGCCTGCTGTGTTTCATGCCGGTTGAATTGAGAAATAAAGTATAGTGAAGTGAAGCTTGGAAGAGAAGAACTTAGTATTTTTCTGTGATGCCATGTCATAATATCATTTTGGAAAAATATTACTCTTGTTGAATTCAAGTTTCGTGCTTTCTTGTTGATGGCATTCATGAAATTTCCTAGATTTTTTTTTTTCAATAACGACCAGAACAATTCGCCAGGAAACTTTTTCCCTCTTATATTACATTCGATTAGTTTCAAAATATTTTTTATTATAGGAATTGATATAGATCCGAAATTAATATCAATTGCCCGGAAAAACATAAAATACTATGTAAAAACAGCGGATACAACGCCAACAAAGCTTGATGGTACTCCAGGTTTGTTGGAAACCCCAACAAATGAAAGTGGTAGTGAGTTTTTCCCTATATCTTTGCCAGTATTCTATGGACCTATTGATATTCCAGGGTTCCATAAGACGCAGCAGGAAAGGGACTTCCCAAAAAATGTTTCTTTTAAACAGGTTAGAATTTGTCGCATTGGAATTTGAAATTTGCCTATTAATTTTGTTTTGTCATTTTGTAGTGCAACTATGTGCTAGAAGACGAGTCCCTTTTAGCACTAGAAGAGCCCCAGTATGACGTAATTCTATGCCTCAGCATTACAAAATGGATACACTTAAATTGGGGAGATAGAGGACTAAAATTGACTTTTAGGAGAATGTATGAACAGTTAAGACCCGGGGGAAAACTTATTTTAGAGCCTCAGCCTTGGCATGGTTATAAAAGTAAAAAGAAATTAACTGTAAGTATTAATATAGCATAGAAAATAATTCGAATCCGAAACAGTTAAAAAGTTTGTTTATTTCAGGAAAAGATTTTTGAGAATTTTAACTCAATTGAACTTCTACCTGATAAATTTAGTGAGTATTTATTATCACCCGCCGTGGGATTTGCTAAAAGTGAAATACTCGGATTTCCACAACATAGAAGTGTTGGATTTAGAAGGCCAATACAGGTTTTTACGAAGAGCACCATGTTCCCTAGTGAAAGGATTGAAGTGACCCCAAAAGTTGATCATGAAACTCCTCTAAAAGCACAATCAGGTACGATAGGCTATCTGTCTTTTGTGATTATTAGTATAAATTAACTACTACGCTCAGCCATATGGTCAATATGTATGAAATTTCATGGCCAGATCTAGTTACTCGCATAGAAATCATGCACTTTATTCCTATCCTCAATTTCTCTTGAAAAACAAAATTCTTACACTCTTTGTATTGTTTAATGTCAGCCCATTGGCCTTAAACTAACCAATGACTCATAACTTCCGTTTATGTATTCGCAGCCTCTCATTTAGTGTACAAACAAACATTAGACTCAATAGTTGATAGATTTATCATCTGCAAATAACATTACCATTTAATTTGGGGCACAGGCAGATTTTATTGATGTAAATCAGGTAAAGCAGAGGTATTTGCACAGATCCCTGAGGTTGGTATACTATATTTCACCACCGTCTGACTTGAAATTTTGAACCCTGTAGTTATTTAGTTGATTGCTCACGCTCAGCTTCATATTTCTTAATGACGTTGATACCAATTTCATTCCATCAATATACTCCCAGCTTACCGAAAACAATATCATCCTAGACACAAATAAAGAATGAAGGCTTTCACGGCCGGTCAAATCTAGTAGAAAAGTTTTTTCTGGGCTATAATGCCGTGTTCGAGTAATATTTCTACCTAACGTTTCGTCTACTGCTGCGGTAGACATCTTCAGAGGCGGTGTGGTAGAGGACGAAGTGTTCTCTTCCGTGTTCCTCCGATGACTGGATTCGACGCTGTTGGTCCTGCATTCGTTATATCCAGGGTTGTGGGCGTGGCTTGTATTACGCTATTTTCCTTGTCTCGTTCTCGGAAAGGAAGGGTCTTCGTTTTTCGGAGAACTAGCAACTAGCTTTTGTTAAGGTTCATGCCCTCTTCTTTTCTGTTGAAGTTGTTGTAGTGTTTCTGTATCTCTATGGCTTCTCTGTGGAGTCTGGTGTAAAAATGTTTGGTTCTATCACATGCGTGAGTCTGGTCGAAACGGATGACATGGTTTGTTTGTGTTAACACGTCTTCGGCCATTGCTGATCTATCTATTTGTCCCTGCTGACAGTTTCTTTTGTGCTCTTTGATCCTGGTGTTGATAGAGCGTTTGGTTGTTCCTACATAGACAGATCCACAAGAGCAGGGAATTCTATAGACGCCAGGATCCTTGGCCAATCTTAGACCTTAGACTTAATACCCAATTCCTTCAAGTGCTGATTTTAGGTGTTGCATCATGTCCTGAAGGTATCTGGGTTCACAAATCCGGATTGCCCTGTCAGATAGAGTTTCAATGACTCCTCTCTTTTGCCTAGGATGATGATTGAATTCCTTGTAAAAGTTATCTGTCCGTATGCGTCGGCTTTCTATATACTCTGTGTCCCAAGTTTACCAAGCCAGGAAGTAGAGCTCCTCGAGAGAACAAATTTTTCGTCTTTATCATTCTCATTTACTTTTCGATTACGTTGACAAAGAAAAAACATTCGTTCTATTGGGGAGCTCTTCTCCCTGGCCCGAGGATCGGGCTTCTGAGGGTAATCTTTCTAAGAGGACGTCGAGGAATGCAATTTTGTTGTCCTTCCCAACTTCTATCGTAAACTGTATCCTAGGTTCTATTGAGTTTAGATAATTAGGGAAGTTTTTGAGCGCTGCCTGTTCATGGTTTCAAACAACAAAAGTGTCATCTACATAGCGAAACCTACAAGTAGGTTTCTTTCTGGCCGTTCTCAGTGCCACTTGTTCGAAGTGTTCCATGTAGAAGTTGGCAATAACCGGGCTGATTGGACTCCCCATTGCGACTCCATCTGTCTGCTCAAAGAATTCATTTTGCCATTGGAAGTACGTAGTTGTCAGACAGTGATGGAATGAGTTGTTGATTTCCTCCGAAAAACATCTTTTAGATACTCTAAGGCCTGATTCACTGGTACCTTGGTAAACAGCTAGACCACATTAAAACTAACCAGAATGTCGTTTGGTAGTAGAGTGATGTCACTGATAAAATGAGTAGAGTCTTTAACATAAGAGCTAGATTGGCCAATCCGTGGCTGAAGGAGAGTGGTGAGGTATTTGGCTATGCTGTATGTGTGCAAATCTATTGCACTTACAATAGGTCTGAGTGAGTTACCTGTTTTGTGAATCTTCGAAAGCCCATATATTCTAGGTGGTAAGGCCTCAGATTTGATGCGTTTCCTTACGTTTTCCGGGTCCAACGGTCGTGCTTGGATGAGTCGATTGGTTCTTCGCAATATAGAAGCACTAGGATTGAGCTTCAGCTTTCTGTAGGTAGAGGGGACTAGCAGTTCAGACATTTCTGATTCATAGTCAGTCACATTCATGATTACCGTTGCGTTTCCTTTATCCGCAGGTAGGACTAGTATGTTCTTGTTTGTATTTAGGCTGCGAATAGCTTTCCTTTCCTCATATGTCAGATTGCACTTTGGAGTTTTCGCTAGTCGTAGAATGCTAGATGTTTCATTGCGTATTTCCTCCGCAGTGGTTTGAGGTAATGTGCGTTTCCGAATCAGTCAGAACGCGTTGGGTATGGTCAGATTGACAACTATGCGATCATTGCCTGTGGGTCTCGCAGTATTCAATGGTTTCAAGGACTCAAATTTATTTACCAGTTTCTTGGTTGTTTTTGCTAGTGTGACTTCCATCACATTATGCGTCATTCGGTCAATTTTGTCGCAGTCACTCCAATGCATGCTGTTGGATAACCTTTGGTTTATCGATAGAAGATCCTTATCCATAGCTGCTAGGTCTTTTCTTGTTTGGTGAATCCATTCCCGAAGCCAGGCTCGTTTTGCTCGTTCGAAAATTCTGCTAGATTGGGAGGATTTAAAAATTCTTCGAATCTTCAGGAATTTCGGAATGACTTTCGAGTCTCTGCATCTTTGGAGAAAAGCAAGGGAGCCTAGAGAATGTTTTCCAAGCGTCGAATAAGTTGTGGTATTTCCTCCCCGTAGAGGCGTTTGAATAAAGAATGAAGGCTTTCACGGCTGGTCAAATCTAGTAAAAAAGTTTTTTCCGGGCTATAATGCCGTGTTCAAGTAATATTTCTACCTAGGGCACCTCTTGAAACGGCTGGCGTCTATAGAATTCCCTGCTCTTGTGGATCTGTCTATGTAGGAACAACCAAACGTTCTATCAACACCACGGTCAAAGAGCACAAAAGAAACTGTCAGCAGAGACAAATAGATAGATCAGGCATCGCCGAACGCGTGTTAACACAAACAAATCATGTCATCCGTTTCGACCAGACTCAAGCATTGGATAGAACCAAACATTTTTACACCAGACTCCACAGAGAACCCATAGAGATACTGAAACACCACAACAAATTCAACAGAAAAGAAGAGGGCATGAACCTTAACAAAAGCTGGTTGCCAGTTCTCCGAGAAACAGAGACTCTTCCTTTCCGAGAACGAGACAAGGAAAATAGCGTAATACAAGCCACGCCCACAGCCCTGGATATAAATAATGCAGGTCCAACAACGTCGAATCCAGTCATCGGACAAACACGGAAGAGAACACTTCGTCCTCTACCACACCGCCTCTGAAGATGTCTACCGCAGCGGAAGACGAAACGTTAGGTAGAAATATTACTCGAACACGGCATTATAGTCCGAAAAATCTTTTTTACTAGATCCTAGACACAGTCGAATACAGCAGATAGGAAAACATTAGACTATAAACCTACTGTGCACTCAATATACATGCACGTGCACGCCATCCTCTAAAGAACGAAGATCACTGTAACTCTACACTATTTTTATTATTTCCAACCTGTATGTAACCTACCTCTCTAAAATTAAATTGGATACCATGCCTACCAATACCTGTTCAGTTATCCTGAGTAGTGTAGTAAAGACAAGTTGGAATATTCCCAATATACTCTAGAAATTCTCAACTCAAGCTTTTCAATTTTATTCCGAAGTAAGGGAATGTTCAGATGAAACACACTGAAATTCTCTTCACAGGAATATTTTTTTTTGGATATGTACTTTTTGCATATTGAGATCATGAGCTGAAATTGATTAATATTTTTATAACAGATTTCTATAATTTGAGATACCTTTGAGTTTTCCTCGCCTATGTTATTTAGAAATTTGAAGTATTTCTCAATAGTGCATTAAATTAGAAAACATTTCTATGGCTTAAAGTGACTTTTCCTCTCTATGATTTAATTAAGCAATCTAGGAGAGGGAAAGTGAGAGTTTTCTGCCCTATAATCTAAGTACTTTTTTTTTTTAAATCAATCATATATGTACATGATTAGTTCCAGATAAACAAGAAATGCCAACTTCTGCCGTAACTAGTGTAAATCACGTTTACACGAACCTGCTGCAACCTACGCCTAGTTATTCTGCATGCTCAGAAGAAAATAATGAAAACAGACATCAGCCGCCCGCGAGAAGCAATCCAAATGTTAGTGATACAAAAAATACGGATATAAGTGAACAAACTGATGTGGTGCGCAAAAATACGGATAATACTGAACAAACCGATGTGGTGCGCTTTAAAGAAAAAGATTGACAACAAGTGTTAGTTTTTTGTGACCATCATTATTGTAGTTTTTTATAAATCAAATTTGTAAATATATTTTTTTTTATTAATCTAAGGATTGGTAATTATTCAACACAGATTAAAGTTTAATTCATTTGAAGCTGATGATCAAACTTTGCATTTGAAATTCATGAATTAAGTATTTCTGGTTAATTTGAAACAGCTTAAACTTCAATTTGTGTATAAGCATTTGAATTTTGAAGTAGAATCAACTTTAATTTGTGTGGTGTATGTATTTGTAATTTGAAACAGATTTAACTTTAATTCGATAATTAGGTAGGTACTTTATATTTATAAAGCAATTCGAACTTTAATTTGTGAATTGCATTCGAAATTGATCAAACTTTATTTGATTAATTATTCCAAACTTGAAATCAATTCGTATATCAAGAATTTGCATTGCACTCCACTATGATTAGTTGGTTTTTGAAACAGATTGAACCTCTTTTGATTGAAACGAATTCAAGCTGGAAATAATTGATTGATTGATGTAAGTATTTTAGAGACTTTATTCTTAATTTAATTTCATTCTGCATGTAAAATAATTATAAATAAAATTGCTAGTGAAATAGATATTTTTAGAAGGGTTAGTCAAAATTTACATACAGTGAAAGCCAATTATTATAACACTTCTTCCAAATCCAAATACAACCACCAAAATATAGACTACTATTGATCAACATAACATTCCCATGTGACTAATTCGATCGCTTATAACCACAAAGTTGCTTTCAGTTGTGCAAGTTTTTTTTTGGAATTGTAGAGGTAAAAAAAAAAACCTGTTACAGTCCCTGCAAAGAGAGATTATTCCACAACTCAGATTATTTACTCACTATCTTTTGATCCCAAGGGATTAAATGGGAACTTTTATGTCGTGAATGAATTTAGGGATAATTTATATTATGGAATTATCAAATGATTATCATTTATAATTTCGGCAATATTGTTTCCAAAATTACGACCAATATTGTCATGGTCAACTAAAACTAACTTTACAAAAAGTAACAACTTTTATTGCACAAATTGACTGAATTTAAAATTTACTTATCACATACACAACAAAAGTCGTATTTGAACTCCAACTCAAACTGATTACTACACGCTATTAATTATAGTGAACATCGTACTCCGTGTCTATTTAGAAAAATATGTTTAATAAATATAATTGAATTTCCAGAAAAGATGCACTTCAAACGTAAACAATTATATTTGAAGAATCAGGCATGCCTCTTCACGCAATTTCGAAATACTGTCTCCCTCTCAAATCAGATCTGACCACTTATTCTCATGGTAAGCCTTAAACCTGTCAAGATGCACCATCTTCATCATACCTTTGGGGCCGGTAGGATTTGATACACCACGTCGTTGAGTCACTTTATAATCGTGTACGGGCCATCCCATACTAATGTTAGCATCGGAGATCTACTTTAAGGGTTATGAAGCCAAACTCTGTCATGCTCCTGGAAACCTGTAGAGTACGCCTTAAGATCATATCTCGTTTTTATTCGGTCACTCGCCAACTCTGTCCTTTCTTTCACTATTTCATGGATGTCCAGCAACTTTTTCTGCAGATGGTCAGCATATTCTTCGAGCTCAAAAAATTAAAATTTAGCGACCGGACGTCTGCTAGGCATATGGAAAATTCACTTTCCTTTTGCAACGGCCGTAAAATATACCTCAACAGCTGACCGGCTTATGGGAATTTTTTTCTTGTTCCTAACGATATCAAATTTGATTTTGTCGATTGCCATAAGCGAGAAGACGATCAGCCACCGAATATTCTTCTACAAGATCGCGCCCTTATTTCAACCCTTTCAGTACGTGCAAACCTTATGCCTTTGGTTTTCCACTATCACTTTGTTCTGTAATGTTAATGTGTTAAAATGCCATGAAACAGAAATTGAAAAAATAACCTATTTTTTTCTGCAAGAGGAAAATAAATTTTCCATATGCCTAGCAGACGTCCGGCCGATACATTTTTATTTTTTGAGCTCAGCACTGACATGCATGCCACTGTACGTTCCTCTCCATCTATCACGTGGCTCAGAGTACCGGTTATTCCATTTTAACTTGCATCTGTGGTAACTAAGTATAATGTGTAGATTTGGATCAGAATGTACAATGTACTCTTTGACATTTTTCAGATCAAACGAATCTGTTGTTCACTTTAAGCAAATCATAGATAGGAGACAAAATTTCTGCTGCATTTGGTACAAATTTATGATAGTAATTTATAAGGCCAATAAACGATCTCACCTCAGTTACAGTTGAAGGTTGTGGTTCTTCCAGAATTGCTTTTACCTTCTCCTTGGTCTTCTTCAACCCCTGCTTTGTCAAGGTGTAACTAGGTATTCAATCTCATCTTTTTTCACAGTTAAATTTGCCTCCCTTAAAATACGTTTAAGATGAAATTTAGCCGATTTCACGCAAGCTTCCCATAGGCCACCATGATTAGGACCATATGAAGCGGAAAAATGCCAAACAATATTATTGACAGACAGTAAATTTAGAGTATTTTTGAATCTGTTTTATTGTATCGCGTAGTTCTCTTGCTGCACCAATAAAATTTGAACCATTATCTGTGTACCTATACATCACTACAAATACCTCTTCGAGATACAAAATACAAATCTTTTGAAACAGTTGAGAAATGAATCGGTAGACAAATCCCCTACTAATTCTAAATGTACATATACAGCCTTTGTAGTGAAGCATACAAAAACACATAAATAACATTTTACCAAAGATCGATTACGAGATTTGCCATCTTTAAGAAGAAAAGGCCCTGCAAAGTCAATTCTTGTTCTTTGGAAAGGACGTTGGGGTACAATGTGTTTTTCAGGTAAATTACCCATAAATAATTAATTTCAGAAGGTTTAGCTCTAAAACATGTTAAACATGAACGTATATATACTGTTGTATTATGTTGCGTCCATTTATTCGCTAGAATTTATTTCGGATAGATGGTAAAGTTAATTGTGAACCTGCATGCATCAGTCGTACATGCTTATGAATAATTAATAATTTGGTAGAATTTCCAGTGCTGGGTAATAAAATTGGATGGTTTTGATCAAAGTTTAAATCTGAATTTCTTAATCTACCGCCTTCCCGAATTAAACAATTATTATTATCCAAGAACGGTGTTAATTTTAATAAATGATTTTTAGGAGGTAGTTCCTTAAATTTTTTCAAGAGAGCGTATTCTTCTGGAAAATAATATGATTGAATTATTTTACACAAAAAAATGGTTGATTGGTTAAGTTCATCGATTGACAGAAAATCTGAAACACGAGAATACGGATTTTTTCGACTATTATTTATAAATCGTAAAATATATCCAAGAACCCTTCTCATTTGCTTAAAAGAAGAAAATTGATGACAAAAAATATTTCACTTGAGTTCTGAATTTGCATATTAACAGGATTTCTTTTTAATTCAGAATTTCGCTAGGTGAGATGGTATTATCGGGTAAACATATTTTTTTATTTTTTCTGGATTAAGAAAATATGGTCCATTCCACCATAGCCTCACAAACCTTATCATTCCACCATAGTCCACATGATTTAAATCCTGGGCATCTGAGCCTTTAGAAATAATATCAGTTGGATTTTGAGTTGAAGAGACATGAGTCCATTGATTTGCTTTTGAAAATTGTAGAATTTCTGAAACACGATTCGCAACAAAAGTATTGAGTTGATTTGGCTGCTTATGAATCCAAGCTAATAGAATTTGCGAATCCGTATAATAATAAATGTTATTGCAAATAAATTTTAATGATTTTTTGATTGTTTGAGTTAATCTAATCATTAGTACAGCTCCACAAAGCTCAAGTCTAGGAATGCTGCACAAATAAGACAAACAAAAACTTTTCCTGTAGAATCAACACTACGTAAATAGCTACAACGACCATATGCTTTCTGAGAATCATCACTAAAACAATGTAATTCGATTGAAATGGCATTTAAACAGGAAATATACCTTGGAATGCGGATGTCGTTTATAAATGGAATTTGTTCCAAAAATTTTAGCCAACATCTGTGAAGATTCATTGGAATGCTTTCATCCCAATCAACACCAGATTGCCAAAGTTGCTGAATAATAAGCTTGGCCTGAATAACACAAGGACCAAATAACCCAGGTGGGTCAAAAATTTTGGCTGTGATTGAAAGAATGGTTCTCTTTGTGATGTGTGCAAATTTAGTTAAATTGACATCATATTGCAAGGTACCTATCTTGAGTAGAATTCCAAGTTAATCCAAGGGTTTTGGTTGTTTTATCATCAGGAACTCATGAGATTTGAGAATTTGAACAAGCTTTGCAGTAAATTTTGTAGCTCTTTCAACGGAATTTGAACCCGTTAGAAGGACATCAACTTAAAAGCTAGACAAAATGATGTCAGAAATCTCGGGATGACTTTCTTTAATCCTAATGGCTACCTCACGCAAAGCTCTAATAGCCAGAAATGAGGCTGAAGAAGTTCCGTAGGTTACTGTGTTAAGCTGGTAGTGGGATAATTCATCAGAAGGGTTAAATCTAAATAAAATACGCTGTAGGTAAATCACGATCACTTTCATTAACCATTACGCACCTATACATTTTCTCTACATCAGCTATAAAAGCAATTTTGTGAGTGCGAAATCTTAAAACAATATTTAATAAATCATATTGTAGCTTTGGACCTACTTTTAAAATATCATTCAAAGATAACCCGCTAGAAGATTTTGCAGAACCATCAAACACAACTCGTAATTTTGTTGTTGTTCTAGACTCTTTGAAAATTCCGTGATGTGGTAAATAAAATGTAGTTTATTCTGTATTAATTTTATCTGTATTGATTTTTGTCATGTGTCCCAACTGTTCATACTCTAAAAAAAATTCCATGTATAGTGTCTTTAAAGTAGGATTTTTTGAAAGTTTTTGTTCAATGGCATGAAAACGCGTAAAAGCCATTTGTAATGAATCACCAATAATATTCTGAAAATTGTTTTCAAGTGGTAAACTAACAACAAATCTACCAAATTCATCACGAGAAGTTGTGTTTTCAAAGTGTTTTTCACATTAATTTTCTTCCTGTGAAAGCTTTGAATGAAAGGATGGTTCTTCAAGCTGCCAAGATTGTTTTAATTGTTGATTAATAGCGCGAGCTTCAATAGGCCCCTTGCATCAAATTTTTTTATTGTTGATTTTGATAGTCCCTGAAAAATAAGTTAACACGTGTTTTTCTTTTTCTTCTTAGTCAAAAATTGACGGAGTTACAACGCTTTGAAATGTGCTTATTTTTCATATCCTATGACGTCACGCCATGCTCAGTATATCTATATATACAAAACTTAATATTTGTATAACTTTCGGAATAATCACATTTGGGCGAAATAAAAAAAAAGTAACGATTTTTTTTCGATTTCCTAAAGTTTGCAATAAACAATAATCAATTTAATTTTCCATGCAAGTACCCTATTATGTCAAGGGATAAATTACAAATTGAATTATTTGAAAAATTCAAAGGTTTTGGACCAGATAAAATCCAACCAAGTTTTTTTTGTGTGCCCGTATTTGGTAAAATAATTTGGCCAACGCATATTAAATACCAAAATATTGAAGCACCTAACTGCATATCAATTGGGCCTGGTTCATTAAACGTATTATCGGCTAAAATAATATTTTTGGGTACTTATTGCAACAGAGAGTATCTATAACAAATGCTGGCAAGTTATTAGAAATTTTTTCTGTAATTAAAAATGAAATATTTTCTAATTTGAATGAGTTGATTTGCGATTTAATGATAGCCTATTAATGATAGTTTTTTCAAAAATAGTAGTTATTACACCTTTACCAAAACCTTCCACTGAGTGAGAAATATTTGTAGATGAGAGACCAAGTTTAGAAAACATATCCTTGGTGATGAAATTTGATTGCGAGCAATTATCCAAAAGTAGGTACTCGGCATGAATGAATTTTGCCATATTTATCAAAAACTGAAACAATTGCAGTAGATGATAAAATATATGGCTCAAATGAAATTGAATTTGTAACTGAATATGATTCGAATGTGTATTTGAATGAGTTGAATTGTCAACACTTTCATTAGTCGTTTGCATGACCTGAGTTTTATTGGAGTTGTTTGAGTTAAAATTTGATTTTTGAGGGTTGCGTTTATATGTAATAAAGGTGTTATGTCTTTGAGAACATTTTTTTCAAGAATACTGGTTACGACAATCTTTTGAAAAATGACCTTGTCGTAGACAGTTAATGCAAGCTTGTAATTTTTTGACTTTGTCTAAGCTATCTTTGGGTTCCAGTTTTATAAAATCGTCGCTTGAGTAAATAAAATGTTTTTTTCTACAAATGAGACAATTTGCCTGTTTTGTTTGATTTTCATTTGTTATGGTTGTATGAGTAATTGTTTTAGAAGGAATTGATTTTTGCGTACACAATTTGGTTGAATTTAAATTTTCCAATAATTGACAACGTGTGTTTAGAAATGAAATAAGCAGCTCATCAATTGATGGTGTGATTGTTTCAAATCCTAACGAATGTTCTTCCCATTCTCTCTTAGTGATTTGATCTAGTTTGGAAGATGAAATAAAAATCAAGATAGTATCCCATCAATGATTTACTGGAAGTCCTAAAGATTCTAGAGAGCGAAAATGTTGATTAAAAATGTCAATGAGGTTTCTGAATTGTATATGTGATTCCTTTGTTATAATTGGTAAGTCAAAAATTGCCTTTAAATGAGCTTGAATAATAACTTGTTTGTTCTCAAAACGTTCACTCACAAGATTCCATGCCTTTATCATAATTTGCATCTGATACTTCCAACGAATTTAAAACATTTGCAGCATCACCTTTCAAACAAGATTTTAAATACCAAAACTTCTGAATTTTACTTAATGAAGTACAGGGTGTCCGAAAAGGTTTTTACGATTTCTTTGTTATATTTCTCCAGAACCGTTAGGAGTGGGGAAATCCGAGCAAATGCAATGCCGAACGTGCATCTTGGAATTTCATAGTCCAAGCAATAAAGGAAGTTTACCTCAACATAATTAGAAGTTAACATTTTTTGGGGGGGATCGGTTCATTTTCATGTGCTTAATAACATATTAAGTTTGCGACCTTGTACTTCCATAGGGTTTTCAGTTAGGGGTGGTTTTTAGGGTTAATTTACAGTTTATGGAGAACGCTGCTCAAAAGGATGGTCCAATAGCAAAAAGTTTCAAATTAATATTGTAGCTGAAGCTTTTTGCTATAAAAAACTCAGCGACAGCACCCCTCTATCTTCTATAGTTTTTTTTCTGCAGCGTCTTGAATAGCAGCATGTTTTTGTTCAAGGTCACTGAATCAACGTTTTGCCATTTTGCGCGCATTTGTTGCAGCAGCGGCCGAATGCATAATCCGATTTCAATTTTTCAAACACCACATTATTTCTAATGAAATGCACTCTCCAATGCTTTTTTGTTCGAATTTTTTGCTTGAAAATTAAACGAGCACGGACTTGTCTAATGTGCGAGGAAGTTGTAAATTGCATCGAAAACTACCCCTTTCTTGCATTCACTCTAATTTCTAAACGGGGCCAAATATTTGGTGACAGTTTTCGACAATCGGCAGCCAATTTATTCCTCTCATAATGCCCCAGCGGATTTTTTTTTTCGTTAATCACTTAATGACTTATTGGCCTGAAAACGTCGCGCGCGATTTTTCAAAAAGTAAAAAAAAATTAAAATTGTCGCATAGCGCTGAAATTTGGTACGATGGCTTTATTTATTGTTCTCATGATTATACTGCAATTTTATATCATGTGAAGCAATTAAAATTGCAGTATATTCGTGAGAACAATAAATAAGGCCATCGTACCAAATTTCTGCGCTATGCGACAATTTTAATTATTTTTTACTTTTTGAAAAATCCCGCGCGACGTTTTCAAGCCAATAAGTCATTAAGTGATTAACGAAAAAAAAAATCCGCTGGGGCATTATGAGAGGAATAAATGGGCTGCCGATTGTCGAAAACTGTCACCAAATATTTGGCCCCGTTTAGAAATTAGAGTGAATGCAAGAAAGGGGTAGTTTTCGATGCAATTTACAACTTCCTCGCACATTAGACAAGTCCGTGCTCGTTTAATTTTCAAGCAAAAAATTCGAACAAAAAAGCATTGGAGAGTGCATTTCATTAGAAATAATGTGGTGTTTGAAAAATTGAAATCGGATTATGCATTCGGCCGCTGCTGCAACAAATGCGCGTAAAATGGCAAAACGTTGATTCAGTAACCTTGAACAAAAACATGCTACTATTCAAGAAGCTGCAAAAAAAAAACTATAGAAGATAGAGGGGTGCTGTCGCTGAGTTTTTTATAGCAAAAAACTTCAGCTACAACATTCATTTGAAACTTTTTACTATTGAACCATCCCTTTGAGCAGCGTTCTCCATAAACCGCAAATTACCCCTAAAAACCACCCCTAACTGAAAACCCTATGGATGTACAAGGTCGCAAACTTAATATGTTGTTTAGCATATTAAAATGAACCGATCCCCCCAAAAAAAATTCAACTTCTAATTATGTTGAGGTAACCCCTCTTTTCAGATCTCCGTTTCTTGGACTATCAGTTAAAGCAAAGAATTCGCGACGAAATTCGAGCCACAAGAACTCTGCAACCGCGAGTTTACCAATTTCAGAGTTTGTTTGGAGAAGACGATCCGCATGGGAGAGCAGCACCTCGACGGCATAGTTTTTCACAAATAAAATTTCCACAGTTTGTAGTTTATTTTATTTTTTTCATTTTTTAAATAAATCTCAAACTTGATAAGTTATAATTTTTATAAATCGTAAAAATCTTTTCGGACACCCTGTACAATAATTATGAATTAATGATTTAAATGTAGGTATTTGAGAATTGCAACCATTTGTCATAATGACCATAAAATTCTGGTAAATTGATTTTTGGCAAATTTGAATAGTCATTTAATTTATTTCAATTGATGCAGATAAATTTGATTGAGAAGCAGTATTTGAATTATTGAAATGTCGGTCAATAATACCTTTGGCTTTACCTATATTTTTTAAGAATTTTTCCTCAAAGTTGTCCCTTTCACTGGCATGGTCCACTTGCAGGTTTAACATTTCTAAATCAGATTGAACAGTTTGAAAATCGACCCAAGTTAAATTTATTTTCTCCCATCGAGACTGGTATTCATAAATTTGATCAGAATCTGTAAAATCATTAACATCGGTCATTGTGGACTAAACAGTAGGTATTACCTTCAACAAATGAACTCAAATAACACAGCAATTATTCAAATTGAACCAAAGAAAAGTTAATGAAAGTATGATGATAATATGTAGAATATATTTTGATGCACTGCCCCGTTGAAATTATTAAACTTCCAAATCTGACAGGATATTTTTCAAATTTCCAAATTAATTCAGGTAACGGTAAACTGTTGGTGGACACGTACCTTCAAAGCGTAGCTTATTCCTTTTTTGACAAGGAAATTGGCTGAATTATTGTTGATTTCAGATTATTTTTTTGAATAATGTACTTACAGCATTGTTTTCTGCTGTTTGTACTGATAAAACGAAGGGCCTGTGTTTTGAGTTTGAATTTATTCTTCTTAAATCTTCGATATATCTTCTGGACTGTTTATTTGGCGTTAAATCTTTTTTAAAATTATATCTGGAACTCGTAGGACCAAAATGTTGTACTGTAGGCGTTTCTACAATACGAATACGTATTTGTACTATTTTTGGATTGATAAAGAATTTGTTTTGAGAAGATGATTTTTTATGCTTTTTATTTTTCGACTAAATTGACAATAATAATAACAATTGTTGTTTCCATGATACATAAAACAAAAAATGAACAAAATGAGATGCGATTTTGAAATTAACAAAAGTAGGTTTTGTGGAGAGTTGAAACAAAGTACTATTGTAGTTGGTTTCAGCTTGAATGTGGTCCCAATATTTCCTTGTAGCTGCATCATAGTTTTCAGCTTTAGCCGTGTCTTCTTCCATTTTCATATAGCCCTCCTCATCCCATGGTTGGCTTTGATAATTATTGAAGCATTTGTCTGTAGGTACTATAGGTAACTATGGACTTTTTCATTTCTTCAAAATTCCTCTTGTTTGGTATGTCGCAGCTAATGCGTGGCTAGAAAAGAAGAAAAAGGAATTGAAAAAAATTATAAATAAACAATCTCGAAAGTTTTATACCACATATCGTCGGTTTCAGGACATAAGGCCCTATCTCGTTTTTTACAAGTTTTCAGGAGAACAATTAAAAGAAAACTAATATCTTTACGCCAATATAATACAAAGAACTATACTGATTTTTGGTCTCTTTTTTTGGAATTATTAACAATAACTCATGTAAGCTTTTTGTCAAATACCAAATTTCAAAATAGTAGTTAACGTTTGTGTCTCAATATTCGCCTTTATGCTGTGATAAAACTATTCATATTTCATAGGGCCATGTATTTTCTCACTTTTTTAACGAAATTACCTGATTTCAAGGTAAGACCCTTGGCTAAAAACAAGTATACACTAAATACAACATATCTATGAACTTAACTCATTTTGGCCCTATCTCGAGATATGGCCTTATGTCCTGAGACCGACGATATGTTGTGTCAAGTTGGTTTATTTCGATTCATAATAATGTGCAGCGTCTAATATTGGAAACAGTTGGATATTTAAAACTAGCATTGTCTGTAAACGCAGACTCCCAACTTTTCATTAAATTGGCAGGCTGAAATTATACAAAAATAATAATAATGATAATTGTATTGATAGATGTAGGCGTAACTTACGTAAGATTGATTCACAACCCCATATAGAAGAAAGTAGACTAATTTTAAAACACAAGAAGAAAAAATCTAGTCATTGTAGCCCCACGGAATTGTATCAGTGTATACATAGTTAATAATTCGTTTGTCATCAGAGGGACTTAATGCTGTTTTGATTTGATCCATAGTAAAGACTTCATGTTTTTTCGATCTAATAAAACTTTGTGGAACCTCAAGAATTTTGTTATGGAAAAGGCTTTGGTAATAATCATCGAATGTAATAAGTTTTAATGAATTTGACTGAACACCTTTGGCCTTTTTGACAATAATATCAGTATCGCCTGTAGAGGAAGAAGACACCTTGCTGTAATCTTGTATTTTAATACAATACATTTTGGACCGCAGGCCAATAAATTCAGTCATAATTTTTCCATTATTTTCATCCTTCATTAAACCGTAAACTTCTTTATTTTTTTGTGGAATATTGTACACATTATCATGAGCGTAGTCTGATGTATCAAACATGTTGATATTTTCCCGAATGCAAGGATAGATATCTTCACCCGTAAATTGATAAATTAAACGATCAGTGTCGGTGTACAATAACTTTGCATTAGATTGAAATTTGTCCTTAATAAAATTGTAGTGGAAATTATATAAAATTGTTTTCGATATATCCAAAATCGACATACCAATATAAATGGGCTTATTAAATTTTATATTTAATCTATCCATGTCAATTAATATCATATCTTCACCAAAAATCTCACAGCTGTTGAAATTTGGCTGCGAAATATAATAATTTGCGCCAAATTTACCACCCCATTTAGTTACCAACTTAGCGTCTTTATACTTTCTTACATTTTCAATAGTTTTGCCAAAACTAGCTTTATTCATTAGCTTGTAATTGTTTTTCTCAAATTCATTTTTGCATAATTTTTGCAATTCTGTGTTCAAGTCAATATATTTTTTCAACCAAGGCGATTGACTGAATTTCAAACACCTATGAATTTTTTCAATTTTGAGACCCAAATTCAAGACTAGCTGCAACATTTTGTAATGAATCACGTACTTTTCTTTTTTGTACAGTGTTGTTAGTAGCTTGGGAAGTGTAGACGCTGAACTTGGTGGAACTAAATGTTCGGGACAAACCGGCAAATCCATGTGTAGATCAAATAATTCTTTGGGATAATGAAGGTCTACCTCGAAAATATAACCAAATGCACTATCTTCGGGTATATCAAAAATGTTGTTTTCTTGATAAATATCCTGAATCCACTCAAAGTTACCTGTGGGCAGAGGATAACTCATGGCTGCTCCATACAGATTGACAACATCAAAATACATGAGATAGGTACTTGGTTTGTTGGAATCATATTCATTCATATACTTATTGTTAGCTTTCCCATATCTGTTTGAACATTGTGAAATTCCTCCTCTTATCCCTTTTTCAATAAACAAAATCATGTCAACATCAGTTAAAAGATCTAATTTCACACCAGTGATTTTCAGCATAGTGTCAAAGGCAAAGCCGGGGGCAGTGTAATAATGCAGAGGGTCCAACTGATACGTGTCCAAAGAGACTTTACGAAATTGCTCAAACACATCGACAAGAAGCAAGACGTCAGTTTTCAAATACAGTTCAGCATATTCTTGAATTGATTTGATATTAAAAGTATCCCATACGTTACAGGCATGCCTATATTCATCTTGTGAAACGGTCGAGTTCGTGAGATGACTAAAAAATTGCTGTATTGGTGGTAAACTGTTTTCCTGTAACTTATCCCAACAGTCAATATATTTATAAGGAAATACACCTTTCCTTGTAACCAAATTAAACTGTGTTTCATCAGAGTAATATTGCCTAGTAACTGTTTTTTGTTTGTCATCAAGATAGGATGCTAATGTTTCCAATTTATTTGCCATAAATCGAAATGAATCTATAAACCTAAAGCTGATATTGTTGTTTTCGATATATTTCGTGAAAGAAATGTACTTTTCCTCATTAAGACGAAGTAACTGAATTTTTCCCTGAATTTCAGTACAGAGAGCCCTTATTATGAAATGTCTATCGTATCTTGAAATATTATGAAACACCACAGGTGTCACGTGATTATTATTATCATGAAAATTTAAGTTACAGGAATTATGGGCTGCCGATCTAAAGTTTCCTGTTAAATGACAGTGGTCTCTAACTTTATAATCATCTCTAGAAAACGGTTGACAGCAAATATGACAAAGTGTCGACTCAGCGTACAGCTCCTTTTCTTCTCTAGTTAATGGTTTCATTGGTACAACATTTGAATATACTGACTGTATTTTGTTCGCAATTTCACCAAGTTCCCTAACAAACCATTCTTGACATTTTTCCCCTGTGTACAACTTAAATTCTGATAACGAATCATCATACGTACATTTCAGATAGTATGCAATACTAAATGGTTCATGCTTTTGATATTTTTTCGATTTAGGTGTAGAGTTTTTATCTATATATTTTTCTAGCATACTTGCCAAATCTGCATAAATGACAAACGGTACTGGTAGTTTATTTGCAAAATTTTTGAAAGTTAAAATTTGTTCATGCTCTCTGGGTAGACTCAGTTTACATTCGTTCAACAGTTGACAATCTTTCAAATGATTTTTTAGTACATTTTCAGTATAGAAATGATTGAGACACCGCTCACAGATCCATTTTTTGTTATGAATATTACCAAGCTGTTTATTTAAAAGACCGTTCAAATTTTTAATGCAAGCAAAATGAAAAATCGTTTGTGGAGAGTCCTTAAAATAATCGGGTGCCTCAATTACTGGTTCACTGTTACAAGGTATAATAAGTAAATTAATTTTTTGTGTATAATGTTTCATTTTGCTCAGCATTAATGGTAAAATTTCTCGTTTTTTTATACAAAAAACATTGATGGCCAATTTGTTCATAGATTCGAATTTTGGAATGTCCCTTAGTGCTATCGGAAATGAAATATTTTCATATTTCAATTTTGACAAGAAAGGCTTATAGGTTGAAGAACGTGAAACATTTTTATTCTTTAGCGTTGGAACCAGTGCACACAAAACAGACCAAATAAAACAATAGACATCACTATTTTTGATATTAATGACACATTTAGTGTCTTTGATGAATTTTGGTAAATCTACATAGGTGGATAAACCCACGCTAATTGGATTATAGGAATTGATGTTCACTCTGATATACCAAATTTCATACAAAGCCCAACCACTGTCTCTTTCTTGAAATTCCTCCAATTGTACTAAAATTCTCTCAATCACATTTGCCCTGAACCAATCAGTGAAATTTGTATTGTTATCAATAACACAATTTTTAGTTGAAAAATGTTTCACAGACTTTTCCAAGGTTTGAGGTTTTATAAATAAACCTGCAAAGACTACATTTACTTTTAGCAAAGAATTTTTCAGTTCTTTTTTAATTCTGGAAGAAAAGACCCGAAAAGCCCGTTTAAGAAATTCTTGAGGTTCTTTAAATTTCAAATTCTTGATGATTCCAGTTTTGATTCGACCATTGAAACAAGATTCTAAATCCTGCCAAAATAATTTTCTTTTATTTGAACTTTTATTAGTTTTGGATTGAAATTTAAAAATTTGCGAATAGTAATTTAAAACAGCCAAATTAGTTTCAACTTTATCGTAACTATGTATACCGGATTTATTTTTCAAAGCATTACTAATAAGTTTGATGTTTTTTTTAAGTAAACGAGTATGAATTTTGAAGTCTCCTTCTGTTTTAAGTAGTCTACTTACCACTATGGTTTTCTTCACAACCTCACTGCTCAATGTATCTAGGGTGTGTTTGCTAGATGGTGACGATGAAGAAGACGAAGCCATTTTTTTTTTATTTTTGTTTGTTGATGTTGCTGCGAGCTACACTGAACTGATTCTCTACAAAACGGTTCAATTTATACAAATTTCTTATCAATTTAATTCACATCATCCAGCAACAAGACAACTTTGTTGCAATAATTTTGTTTAATGATGATGTTGTGGAAAAATATATACAGTAAAATGACAAAAAAATAAAAATGAGATGATAATAAACTGCTAGAACTTCGATACGCATAAGGAAATTATTCGCCTATTTTTGAAGTCAAATATTTCAGAAAGTATAAGAGATATTTGATTACGGTTTGGAGCATATTGGGACGCATTGTTTGGTGTTCAAGGTATATGATATCGTGCTGATGAACAGAAACGTTATCTACAACATACAGGGTTGGCAATAGAATAGTGCAAAGTTTACCAAATTTCAGAGCGTCGTCATTTCTTTTCAAACATACTCCTGCTTTTTTTCTGGGATTGAGAAGAATCAGTATTCAGTAGTTCAATGGTGAAAAACAACTTGAAGGGTTTTTGAATGAATCTCGTTTTTTTTGCGGAAATTTCAGTTTAACTTAAAAACGACTTTCATCACCCTGCTTCTTTGTCTCAGTTACTCGAAACAATTTGCTTCATTATTGTTGGTTCAACATTTCCGTCTTTTTTTTTGTTTTAAGAAGATTTTATACAGGGCGAAAAAAAAGTAAGTTTTTAATACTAATTATTGGGTGGTCCGTAAAGATAATTGCGCCTCAGAGTAACTAGAGATAGTGCGCGTCGTAGCACGTAACATGTAGGTACTGCGATTTATAGGGGGCACAGTCCTCTTGATCAATTGGTATCGCATCAACCTTTCTCGGCCTTATAAGGGAAATTTTCGCGAGGATAATCAAGCACAATGGATTATGCTGGATTATGTGATGTGTCATTTGTGTCATACTCCCCTAACTCTCCCATCATCAAATTCTGGGATACTCGAGGATCAAGAAAACTTAAGTTCTTCTGTGAGAACAGACCGAAAATCACCTTTTCTACATTTAAAATCGACGAAAACATTGACTCACTAGCACAGCCTGAATCGCAAGTATTCCATCGAGGTCTGCGGGTGACGTCATCACTATAGGATGGTGATAGTGACATCACTCGCAGGCCCAGAATTAGGTGGAGAGGGAGTTAGGGGAGTATGGCAGAACTGTCACATCACAAAATCCAGCATAATCAGGTTATGCTTGATTATCCTCGTGAAAAATTAGCTATTGTATAACCATTCTGAGAGCTAAATATGATTATATTATGTTTCCTAGGTGGAAAAGCTATTCTGTTCTCGAAACGCCGAGATATTTGGTGAATTATTAGCACGTACCATATCATAAGGGAGGCTATTTATACAGTGGTGGTAGAAAGTACCGGAACGGTTGAATCTCTTTCAAACCCGCTTAAAAAACCTGCATTCTCAAATTTCTTTATCTAATCTGGAGGTTTCCGGTTATACAAAATTGAATGACTCAATGATATCGGCGCTGCTGCCAGATCTACCAGCTTTGCCCTAAATCATTGTCCAATTTCGTTTACCCAGAAACCTCTAGATAATGAATTTTGGGAAAGCAGCATAAGTGGGTTTGAAGAGATTCAACCGTTCCGGTACTTTCACCACCCCTGTATAAGTAGCCCCCTTATGACATGGTATGTGCTAATAATTCACGAAATATCTCGGCGTCTCGAGAACAGAATAGCTTTTCCACCTAGAAAACATATTATAATCATATTTTGCTCTCAGAATGGGTATACAATAAAGCAGAGAAGGGTTGGTGCCATATCAATTAACAAAAAAAAACTGTGCCTCCTATAAATATAAATCGCAGTACATGTTACGTGTTACGACGCGTACTATCTCTAGTTACTCTGAGGCGCAATTATCTTTACGGACCACCCAAAAATAAGTATTGAAAACATACTTTTTTTTCACCCTGTATAAAATCTTCTTGAAACACGAAAAAAGACGAAGCCGTTAAACCAACAATAATGAGGAAAATTGTTTCGAGTAACCGAGACACAGAATCAGAGACACTGCAGTCTGGTTGCTTAAGGGAGTTTTTCAAAAGAAAATGCCATTTGATGATACAAGCATGAAATTTAGCACAGTTGCTAAGTAGACCATTTTAATCGATTTGAGTCGAGGACCCATCGACTTCTCTCACTGGTACTGAAAAAATCGCTATTTTTCCAAAATGGCGATCGATTTTTTAATTTTAATTTTAATTCGGGGTAAACAAGCATGATTATACTCTAGTCTATATATTTCGGAGACGCAGAATAATAAAAAAATAGTTTTAGACCGCTGTGACCTTTGGATGACCTTAATAATCGTAATTTTTGTAAAGTTGTGTCCATTATCAGAATTTTAGTATTAATTTTTCATTTTCAGATATACTGGGGTAATATTATACTCGATTGTAAATAATAACAATAAAAATAATACTCCTGGGGTTAAGCTGACCTTAGATTACCTTCAAGACCTCAATTTTTAAGCAAAATCGCTTAGGACTGAATTCAAGCGAATGATTCTTCAAAATTGGGATGCAGGTATATGAATAACAGATTAGCAGATAAGAATAGGATATCGACTAGTCACTTGCTTACATCACACTCTAACTAGAGGTGGGCTAATCTGCGATTTTAATGGAACTGTGACAAGACGTGACTGCTCCAGTCGTGTCACTGTGACAAATAGCAGTGATTTTTTGGAGCAGTTTTACCTTGGTTCCGGCCGTACTGCTAATATTATGGTAATGCTACGTCGCAACATGGCATAATCACAGTCATCAGTCACGGCCGAGAAAGATGTTCCAGTTTCTGGCCTGTCCTCTGCTGTAGCAGTTTCTATTTGGCGAGACTGCGATGCGATTTTTAATATTATATTATTTCGTTCGCATCACTTAGCTCGAGTTTTGTCCGCGCTGCATCGGTCGGAGCTTGAAGCAGGCAGTGACAAAATGTCACTGCTACTTGACTGGGACTGGAGCAGGCCGTGACTGTGACAGACGAGTAGCAGTGACAAAGTCACAGTTCGTGAAATCGCAACCCACCTCTAACTCTAACACAGCAATGGATCTGATGCAGGAGCTTTTTGGAAGAAGCAAAAAATCTATCCATGTGATTGGCCAATCTTGCAGTTCTGGGAATAAATGTATTCAGGCCATAAGTGGTTCGGTGAATTGGGAAATGGAAGCTGTATGTAGATCTGGTAGAGCAACTCTGGAACTGCGGCTCTACCATGTAATAAATTATAAAAAATTTGGAGTTCTCTTTTTTTCTGATGCGATACAGTTGGTGACATATTGAGCAAAATTTAGCATTTCAGAGTCCGTATAGTGATCCCTGGATATTTAATCTATGTGCCCCTTGTTTTAAGAACTTGTGCTCAATCAGACTGAGAGATTGAATATGGGACTCATACAAGGGAGAAGGGAGACCAGACGCAGGAGGCATGCTCCAAATGAGACCGAAAAAGAGCACAGTAAAGTGTTTTCAAAGCCCTCAAATTAGTAAGCAAACAACACAGTAGGTACGTTTTAAAAACGTCCATTTTAGGTCATGTTCACGTACGTACGTCTTAAGATCAAAATAATATGTACTAAGTACGTACTGCTTGGTACGTTCATTGTATGTAAGCTTCAGTCGTTCTCAGTACGTACATAGTATGTACACATGGGCGCCAGGAGCAGGGTGCAAGGGGGTGCACTTGCACCCCCCTGTCAGAAATACATTGAAAACCTAATTTTTTATTTTATTATTATTATTATTTTTTTAATAAGTTACTGTTTCAATCGGGTTATTTTATTTTTATTTCGCGCGCCATCAACCTGTAGAATGGCGGGAATTTCGAATTTACTTAATTTCTAGTTTATTGATATAAATTTCTCGAGGGGTAGGTCACTCGATAGAATTTATGTACACCTGATGGCGAGTTTTAAAAAAAATGGAGACTTAAACTAATTTAAGAAAATTAACCTTCAACTAAGAATTTCAACGTGCGCTTATGTAATTCTTAATTCTTAAACTCGCCATAATTACAAATACATTCAATTACCTACATGTATTTTTTTGTAATTGAATGTAATCGAGAATGTAATTGAATGTTTATAAGTAAATGTATTTGATTCAATTAGGTTAAGGTATAACTGATCTAATTACACTTTATTTTTTCCCAAGATAGATTTTGACATTGAAAACTTTGAAACATAAACAATAACGCTTGACCCTGATTGGTCGCAAAATGAGGAGTTTCTACAGGTTGACATCAGTTTTACTATAGCGACCAATAAGCGGCATTAGCGGCATTGTTTATGTTTCAAAGTTGACAATGCCAAAATCTATCTTGGGAAAAAATAAACTATAGGTATAATTAAATGTAATTGAGTGTAATTGGCTATAATTAATTGTAATTGAATGTAATGAATTTTTATTGGAAATAAAGATGGGGGATGGGGAGGGTATGTAATTATATCTAATTGGCACTAATTACTAATCTTCCATACTCTTGCAACCCCTAAGTTAGGAGACCCTTCTTAATATGCCTTGTTTATACTTAACGCTCTTTTTTTTTTTTCTCCACTCTTTTTATGAGAATATCTTTTCTCCTTTGTTTTTTATTTTTGGCTTTGTTTGTTGTAGATTGCGCTTAGACATGATAGTAAAAGGAAAAGGGAACAACACGAGTGTGTGCTACATAAATATAAATATCGTAAATACAATATTTTTAAAATGGAGGGCGGTTTTGATTGCCATTGAGGGGGGGCGAATTTTTGGGACGAGTGGGTTGAGGGGTGTTCTTTTTCTCAAAGCTACGAATGGCGAATAGACGGGACAGGGACGAATGCGAAGCACCTAAAAATTTCTCCGTTGGGCACTTAAATATCAGATCTATGAATACCGGTTTTCATGAATTTGCTTCTTACGTTGAACATTATAGATTTGAGATATTAGCATTATCGGAGACATGGCTCTCAGAAGATCAACCCTCGCATGCTTTTCAAATTCCAGGATATAACTTTATCAGGAGGGAT